ATATAAGATGGTCACAACGTGACGGGACAATGTGTGTAGGTAATGAGTAATTGAACTGCAGTCAGAAAGAGACGTATTGTTGAAGTCGAGCTCGTGAGACGTGAATTATAGTTTGTTATAGCGCGACTGTTGAAAATAAGTGTATCGTAAAGTTGTATTCGGAAAGAATAAACCAGTTTTATTAAGTAAGGACTTGTGTCGCTATTCGCTAAAGTTTCGTCGGAACGAAGTTACGGAAAATCAACTAACGAACGAAGACGTAACAATACACTAGACCAACTAAATTCTAAAGCCTTAATGGCCAACGTCCCCGCCAACGAAGCTTGCAATATCGCACTCGACCTCTACATTAATGACCCCAACAAGTTAATCCACATCCCCAATAAACTTTTTGCTTCTCTCTTAGAATTTACAACAACTAAAACCAACTTCATTTTCAACAACGAACATTTCCTTCAAATAGATGGTTTAAGTATGGGCCATTTTGTTTCGCTCGTTCTTGCCAATATATTTACGACCCAGATCGAAACACAAGCCATACATTCTGCACTTCATCCCCCACTATACTGGTACAGATATGTCGATGACACTTTTGCTGGTTTCACTTCTACAGAACACACACTAACTTTCTTTGAATACATAAATTCCATTCATCCCAACATCAAATTTACCATAGAACATGAAAACAATAAGCAGTTATATTTTCTTAACCTAAAAATTATTAGATCGGACACACAGTTTAAAACCAAAATTCACCGCAAGAACACACACGCTGGCCTCTACATCCCCTGTAATTTTGCTCATGACACCACACAAAAAATCAATACACTGAAAAACCTCATAAACAGAGCCACAAGACTCTGTTCAACAGACTATGTAAATGAAGAAATTAGCCACATAAAGCATTCCTTCATTCACACCAACAAATTTCCACCAGCTATTTCCTCCAACATTCACCACAACAAAACTCAACTCACGAATAAAATTGATACTAAGAAACCCAACAACAGAACATTACACCGCAGTTTACCAGTTGTTCCTGAAACCAGCTCAAGAATAATCCACACTTGGGCAAAACTAGCCATTAAACACAAAATTCATGTCAACGTCAAATTGTCTCAAAAACCCGGTCCTAAATTAAAATCATTACTAAACAATAATTATTCAGAATCATACAATACCAAAGTCATTTACAAAATAACATCCAATAACTGCCCAGAATTCTACATCGGAGAAACAGGAAGAAAATTGGAAACCAGATTCACAGTACAGAATAAAAAACCGCCCCATGTTTTTCACCACTAACACTCAAAAAACCATAATTTATCTATTAAAAACACAGCAATTTTAAACAAAGAATCAAACATAA